CCTAGTGCATATCCTAACCATCAAAATGTCAATAAAGAGTATAGTATTGTATTATGAAGTGACACAACCAATGCCATTTTTACTTCTACTTGCCCAAAGGACTATACTTCAGGAGATGATAAATGCCCAAGGAAAGCAATCACTAACAACCTAAACACAGGGTTATTTAACACTGTGTTTAACAAAATGGACAGCTTTTAATGAGTGTATAATGAGACTTAACATATTTATATCATATGTCTAAAGTCTGTAATAAACTACAAATGCCAGGAAGGCAATGGTTATGCAGCCATGGATAGACTGAGAACCCCTGTGAAGAAAACACCATACCTACAGCTTCCAGGAACTTTTTGTTTTTGTTCTTTCTCAGGACAGCAAGAAACAGGAAAATTACTGATGCTCCCTCCAATGATAGCTTATGTAAATAAACCTTATTTTCTTTACTCATTGTTTTCTTGACAGTAATTGGGAAACACAGTGGAAAAAATGGTTGCTGAACCTGGACAAAACATGCAACAATCTAGTCAGATAAAATTCAATTTACTTGCAGACAGAAAAGAGTTACTACACAAAGTCTCACTTTTTCTTTGACAACACATTCCTAACATTATAAAGAATTTAAGTACAGAGAAACAAAATAACCAACTCAATGCCTATGACTTATAAGAACATGTGCAACCAAATTTCAAGGTCCATTTGCCATATTTATTTTTCCCCCCAATATAGTTATGCAAGTGCATACTTAGGTATAAAGGTAGTTCACTCCAGCACAGCTATCCTATTTGGAAAGAGGCTTGTGAAATCAGTATAAAAACATTCACATATCTTTTCCCAGTACAATTTCTGCAGAACAATAAAACACTGAATTGCATATATTTAAGGCGGGAACTTAATCAAGCCCAGGATTAGTAGGACCAATGGAGTTACTCACCATCAGCAATGGACAGAATATGCCTGGCTGCCCACTGACCTTATAGAAATGATACCCATAGTTTATACATGCCTCAATATCCATGCACATTAAAAGCAGTAAAATTCTAATTTTGAGATATTCTGTTGAAAGACAGAGTGGAAATCTTCAGCAAATCATCTGCTCTAGCAACCTCTTAAACACCACTGCAACCCTTGCACGCCTCTTCAGACATCTGCAACTGCAAGACTACAATCCACAGGGGAGAATTACACATACACACTTCACAAAGAATAGCTTTGGCTCCTGCTGTTCCTCTCTTTTGTAAATCATTTATATTTTCAGGAAAATCATGCAATTCCTAGATATCAGGTGGATGAAAACACTATCTCAATCTCTGTTTTCCACCATGGGAACTCTACAAGCATTCTCTGTGACAGTAAAGCCTGCTAGAGAGATTCCTGCCTCCTAATCAACATCCGAACACATTCCCAGCTCTTGATTACTCTTGATTATGTCAGCTCAACTGCCTCTGGTTAATGTTGTGAAAAGCCAGAAAATGTGTGGATTTAAAAAGAGTGAAGTTTTCTTTTAGTCCAGAACATTTTACAAGCAAACCAAAATCCAAAGGCACTGCCTCAGTTACTAAATCAAGGTTCAGTAGAGGATCAGTCTTACTTAATTTTTGTTGCAAAAGTTGAATTTGAGAAGTTAAACAGATGATCCAACATGTTTTCTTCCTGCATCCCACACTCAATCTCATGTGCATGTGCAGTGCTGGATTTTCCAGACGAGCTTTCCCTGAGCGAACTGGTATTTTTAGCTCTTAAGTGTCTCCTTTCAAATAGCATTTGCTGACAGACTGCTTTGATCTTAATGCATATCAAAAGTCTAAATTACAAATTCCTAAATAAATTGCTTACATTTGACTATGCTCTCTTTAAATTTTAATCAGGGTAGAACACAAAAGGGACAATGTCTCAGCTCCTAACATCCCAGTTGGGTAGGATATTCCACATATTGCTCATGTCTCCTTTATCAGTCTATTGCCAGCTGCTGAACTCTGATATAGTTTTTGATTCTTGATGGTACTTATTTCCATGGCTTTTGCTGTATTTTTCAGTAACAGTCTACAGTGATTCCACAAACTAAAGAATGTAAGATGCATTAAAGCACACTTTCAACCATGTGGAAGTGTTAAAACCCAAAGTGAATTTCAAGACACGAGATATTTAATACACAGTAGGAGGTGCTTTTCAGTTCAAGCTTTGTATCCAATAAATCAAATATTTTCAAGTACAGCTGCTATCCAAAAAGTCAAGCAAGACAGAAAGAAAATTTCAGAATTATGATTGTTGATGTAATTAAATCAAATATATCTCTACACTTTAAAGTATACATGGACATTGTGAATGTTTTAGGATGTTTCTGTAAGTTATGAATCTATTTGAAACAACCTATTTACTCAAAAACTTTGTGTTTTTCCTAGTTAATGGAATAAGAATATACACACAGAAGACACAGACAGGTGGCTTATGTAAGATTATGGATGGAAAAGAATGTGATTAATGAATTCTCCTGAGTCATAAAGGTTTATGGATAAATCCCAAAAACTTTAGGAATGCATAAAGGTATATATATTTGGTTTAGATGAATGAGACTTTCATATTCTTTTCTATAAACTACAGCTGCTATTTCTCACAGTTCCTCTACAAACAGGCCATTTAGGAACTGGCATGTGAAACTTATTGCAGGTTAAAAATTGCACTTTAGATAGGCATCTCTTTCCAGCTCTAATAGTGCATCCCTAAATCCCAGTTCAGAAAGGTTTCAGAACTGTAACCTCACTATTGTGTCAATATACAGGACAGCAGGAGGCAGCAATGACAACACAAGATCCAAACCTTAGTGTGGTGTTCAACAGAGAAATAGACCTGAAAGCTAGTTATCCTTAAAATGCAAATTCCAGTCCAGGCAAAACATGTTTAAGAATACAGAAGTTTTATAGAGGTTCCAACTCTTGTTTAGGGACTTAGAAAAAATAGACTGTAGAGTCCCACATGACTTAGAGAAACAAAACAGACTTAGGTCCATCTGGCTGACCTTGGTAACATCAATAGATATCACAATGAACAGGAATGTTGAGGTTTATGCTATTCTCCACTTTCTCCCTACCACCAAAAGCATAAATGCACTTCAAACGTGAACACTGTTTATAGCAATTACTTAAATTTTACCAGAGCATGCATTAGTATTTTAAAAAGCATCTCTGTGATGCAGTGACTGATAAGGCATTTTAGAAAAATGTTTTGAAATGTTCTCTTTTGCTTTACCTGCAAAACTAAAATTAATAGCAACAGAAAATTACTTTTTAAAGTAACTATCAATTGGAATGAGAGGTAGGATGTAAGAGGGCAGCATGAAAGATTGGAATAAATGACAGCCAGGAGATAAGACATAATAATTTTGCATTATTTTTGATTTAACCATATCAGAAGAAATTCAAAATACTTGTTAGAACCATTGAAAAGTCATGTGATGCAAAGGCATATCAGCACACAATTTTCCTGAGAAATCTGCAACAAATTAGAGGATCAGTGATCCAGAGCCAAGGTAAAAGCATAGGTGCTTGAGGGATATGAAGGAATCTCCTCAAAATGCAGCTAGGCCTTCAGTCCTTTAAGTAAATGACTCCGCATAGGTAATATTTTACAAAACTGCCTACTTTACAAATTTACATGGAATTTATTGTTTTCTTTTGCTACAGTCTTCAACATATTGTTTCTCTCTCTCTGCCTATCAAAATTGCGTGGACATCCCCGCACAGGAAGCAAAGGGATTTTTGCATTAAACTAGCTACTTCTTGTAAGGATATAAATCAGTTATAGCATGCAACAGAGGAAAATATAAAGAAAAAAGAAGTACCCTCAAGTACATACTTTACAGAAAATAAACTGCAATCAGATTTCAGGCAGCTATTGAAGAACAAAATTAGGTAGATATTGTTCTGGGCTTACAGGCTTAAGATGGCAGGAAGTACCTATATTCAGGAATTGGTTTGGATGGGGTTACATTACTAATGTACAGAAGAGGTGACAGCACAGTTACAGGGCAGATGCTAACTGACCTCAGCACAAGGACAGCCTTTTAGTCATCTGCTAAAGAATCCCTGAATCTTTTCAGCCAGATGCATTTAAGTCTGCACAGATAGCTGTAAGTAGAAATGCTTTATTTCCCCAACATGCTATAGGATCTCTTCGTAAAACTCAACAAAAACTTCAGGTCATTGCAGAGAGAAGTCCAGTCACAGAAGCAACATTTACGACTGCGCTCAGACATTAAATTTTCTCAGCCTTTTTGGCAGTTTGAAAATGAACGTACACTGAAAGATGTGGCAGCCTACAAGAAGTTTAGGAGGCTGTACAACACTGTCCTGAAACTGTGCTGTTAAACTGTCATAATGTGTACTGGCAGTGAGCATATCCATACCGCTGCACAGCCCAAAGCAAGAAAAATAAGAAATTGTCATATTTTTCGTTAGCTGTCTACCGACTCTCATTTGAAAAAGTACCTAACAATTCTTCCCTGTTTGACTTACATTACTGAGTTTTTATATGCAGGCAATAAGGTTGCTGAACAGCTTAAAGGAAGAAATGAAACTTGGAGGGAAAAAAAAAAAATCTTGCATTGCCAACTATGCAATTGTCAGTCAACTGTGTACTTGCAGCTGGGAAAGCCAACCACAACCTCGGCTGCACCAAGGCAGGTGGGCAGCAAGTCAAGGGAGGAAATTCTGCCCCTCTATCCTGTTCTCATGACACCCCAGCTGGAGTGCGGGAAGAACAAGGTCCAGCATAGCACCTCTCCTTGTTGGCTCTTCTATCACATCAAAAATTAAGAGATATGTATGAATGCACATAGTTACCAAGACTATTCAGTGCAACATGCATGGAGAAAGAACTACCAATCAAATCCAAACAATTTCTTCTTATTTTAACTGCACAGCTTTAAACAAAGCTTTGAGCTTACTGTTTATCAGACAAGAAAATATTTCTCACCTGGAAACTGCCCTCTAAAGAGGAATACTCACCCTGCTGCAACTGCAGGAGGGATGACCAGTATGAATTTAAGTTGTGCTTCATGCAGAGCTTCAGAAAGGTGAGTGAGCAAGTGAATCAACTCCCTGAAACAGAAATATACTATTAGAGGGAAAGGCAGGAAAACTGCTGCCATATATTGACAAGAACAAGTAACAGTAGTAATAATTGAAAAGGTGCAGCTGGCAAGAGAGACAAACACAATTTGTTGCAAATTATCATAGCAGAAAAAAACAATTAGGAAGACTGATTAGGTTTACCCTCTTTAAGGACTATGAACACTGCATTGCTTGAGAGTCTTAGTTTTATTTGAACTGGTGATCACCCTGGGGTTCTAAGTGTTTCTTAGTTTTATTTTATTTTTCTAACTATGCATTGTTAGCATGTAAAACAAGCCAGCATACTTTATCAGAGCAGATCACTTCTTGAGGTCATTTTTGGTGAAAAGAATTAGATCAATAGAAGAACCAAACACTGTTCTGAAGAAGCAAATTTTGAAGAAAATAAAGTTGCCACTATGTTGCTGCACACAAGAATTTGTAAAGACACTTTCACAGCAGAACATGCACCTTTCAAGGGATATTTCTGAGGCCTGTGTTTAGAAATATTTCTTCTGATGGTTTTTTTCTTGTATAAGTAATCCTTTTGTTTCTCCATGCTTTACTGTATACCTACAAAATACACATTTGACAATGTCATATCTGGAAAGAGCATCTTCTGTCTGCATCATTTAAATAAAGACTTCCACAAAAGCTGATTTTCATATCCATATTCTTGGTATTTCAATAGTAAAATAAACTCTAAAATTCTTATGCAAACTGGTTTTAGCACTCCTAACTGGAAGGTTGATGTTAATAGAAAACCCTTCAATCTGCAGAAACTAAGTTTAATGTCATCTTAAGAGGAATCCAAGATTACCTTAAATTTGCACTACAAACATGGCCCTTCTGAGTGCCTTTCTTAAGTCATTTGATTCTTCAAAACAAAGTTAACTTTCCTATTTTTCACCTGGCCACGAGGACCCACAAACACAGTCAGATGATATTAGTACAGAACTCTAGATCTGTTTAGGACTACACTTAAACCAGAACCAAATAGAAAGCAACTTCACTATCCATTCCAGGAGGCTGAAAGTGCTTAAGCAGGAAAGGCAGAATGGACAAACGCCATCATCCAACCTGTTTGCTCCACTTACACTGGATTAGACCTGAACTCTCAGAAAACATCTTGGTACTGTCATGCCTTTCAAGGCAGTGTAATCCTAGAGATATTCTCCTCAGGCTATTGCTCTTCCTATATAATTATCTGTCACAGTGATTATGCTTGAAACACTATCCAAAGGTAACCCAGTATTTCCATTTTCCCTGAAATTGTTTGATGCTTGATAGAAACTTCCTAGGGTCTACAAAAGCCATTACTCTCAAAATCCTGGCAAACAAACAAAGCACATTTTATCACCTGTCCAATACCAGCAATATTTGTGCTTACAATTTGAGAGCTGGCTGTGCTGAACAGCCCTTAACAATGAACTATCACACTGCCACCTATATTTCTCTTCTGGGAGAAGACAGGATTACAGGAATCAGCTTTTGGTCTGTCTGCAGCATGTACTTCTACCATTCTTGCTCTGGAAAACCAACAGCTTTCCCCCCTGTTACTTTATCACATGCATTCCACATTAGGAGTGTCACTATTCAGACAAATCCATTACAGCAAAGAAGAATCCTTTTCCATAAGAACACATTAAAAAATTACAATACTAAGCTAAACAGACATTTATTGACACAAACATACACATCTATCACAACTCCCACATGATGTAATCTTATCAAAAACTATAATCAGTATTAAAACTATGTAAGCAAGCTTTCCCACTGATTTGTATCTTGTGGCTTAGTGACCTTTTTAACTAATTATGCCTGAACTACAGTATAACTCAACCTTTATTAGATGTCAGAGATGCTATATATAAGACAAATTTGACCAAAAAATCAATTCTTCTTGCCTTGAGCTTAGACTACAGTGTTCATCAGCGAGGATCTCTCTTCCCTGTCTGGCTACCTTTGTTAGCTGTAGGAGCTTTGAGAACTCTACTCCATGCAAAACATTTGCTGACTTCAACTCTTTAGAATATGAGGGGATAAAAAGATGGGCAGGATAGGACAAAAAAAACTAGCATAGGTACAGAACAAGATAACAACTTTCCCACTCAGAAATGAGGTTAACATCTTCACTCCCATTCTGCACAGGCAAAAACTGATCCACAAAGACAGTGACATACCCACAAAAATAGTGACTGCACAAAAAAAGTCATATTTTAAAACATGTACGTGAAGAACCATAACTGTACAAACCGGAACCACAGGACAGAGATTTGTGGTCTGAAAAAGGGGTGGGAATACAGTTTGGATTGTTGGTACACTCAGGACTTTAAAACAGGCTACATCTCAACAGCCACTTCCTACCCTATCCTCACAAAATTCAATCAGTATTGATCTGGCTGAAAAATAATTACCTTCAACTTGAAGGAGGTCAAGAAGCAAAAGGACAGCTGGACAATTGCAGATTTTTGCTTGAGAAACCCAAATTAGTACCTATTCAGTAACCTGTCAAGCCAGGGTTCTGGATCCTGAAAACTTTCTGGCAAATCAGGCAGGATTAATGGCTAAAGACTGAATTTAGGCTCACTTCCATGTGCTGGCCAAGACAGATGAAGTAAATCAAATGTGCACTTTTCTCTCTCCTCCAAAGAGCAATAGCAGAACGTTCATTTATTGTGCTATAAATTAAAACTTTACTGTGTCCCAACAGCGTTTTCCAGTGTTTTAAATGCAATATACTCCAATGTTACCATTGGCAATTTTGAAAGAAAAGCTACTGACATTTTAAACATTATAATGAGGTACAGGAAAGTAGGAATAGAATCAATCTTTCTAAAAAAGCTCCATTAAATATTTACCAGACACTTCACTATAGTCAAGTTTAACTCCAGAGTAGCTACTGAAATATTGGCAGCTTTAAGATCCTATCTATCTTGAGCTAACTAAGGTCTACTTCATTCATACTATTTCAGGCCTTCTTTTATCACTACTATTTGGTAGGTCAATTTTCCGAGTGTTTATGATTTCAAAGTACCTTGTCCCCTATAAAGTATGCAGGCCTCCAAATTTTCATCACCCATAGTCTGTGGCAAGCTTATTTTTCCAAAAATCACTTTTTCCAGCATTGCTGGTCTACTTGTTTTGAACACCTTGTAGAACAGTTTACTTCAGTGCACAAGCGGGGGATGTCAATGCATTTTAAAGGCCTTGCAGAAGATACGAAACGTTTTCATACTCTTCCCTTCAGTTACACCACCCTTCAAAGTTCTGCAGCTTTCCAACTTCAGCCACCTTTCTGCACAAATCAGGAGCTACTGCTCCCTAAAATTTATGCCTTGTCAAGAAAATTGGACAAAATAAAGCTGTCTACTTGAAAAAGAAATTGCCATTTTCTGCCATTTCACTGCCTAGTTAATACCAAGAAACTGGAGTGAATTATGGCAAATCTTTGAGTAATAGATTAATTTTTCAGGGACTAACATGAAGGATACAACTACCAGAAGAGTTTTTCCTCCTATACTCCTACCAACATTAATAAGATGCCTGAAGGTCATCTTCTGCAAAGAGTGACAAAAAAATCACGTTTTTTCAGATTGATTCTGTATGATGGCAGTGCCATCTGTCAAGAAATGTTGGACTGATCAGAATATTGTGTGCATTTTCATATAGCCTGTGAGAGTATTATGAGTATATTATGCCTTTTTCACAACATATACAGATCTCTGGAGAAAAACAAACCCACCCAGTAAACCCACAACTGAGATTAGTAAGTGAGACATGGTCTTGTCTAGCTGTTAGCTAAATAAGCAGGAGAACCTTTGCCTGCTCACATCTCTCAATATTTCTGCCATGTACATTTCTAAACTTAAATGCCATGAGATGAATAACTTGGATTATTTTATTGCAAAATCAGGCAAGAAACTTCTAGAAATAACTTTATAAAGACAGTTATTTAAGAAGTAGGTTTAAACTATAAGAAGCCACAAAACAGATTAGAATTGAAGTATCATCTGCATAGGATATCTCAGCTCATTTAGATTTTTATTAGGGTAAGACATGGGAAGCTGAACCCTTTTTTACTGTGCAATAATTGCTAGCATGAAAGGAAGCAGCATCAGTTAGACGCAGTATTTCATCTCCCATTAAATTTGATGCCGCTGTGATTTGTATATTAATAATTCTATTCCCAGAAAACACAGGGAAGAAGTGGTGCCAGCGCTACCGAGGGTACTTCAAAGTATCTGTATTAGATATCTGCAAGAGCCTGAAGTGGTCACTATAAAGCCCCCAAAACAGGCCCACAAAGACTTACCAAAGCAATTCAGGTTCTTCAGATGGAACAGGTGTTATTTCTAAAATTAAGAACCTAAACAGAGGACCCTAAAATGCTATTTTAAACACGTGAAAATATACACAGCATGCGTTGCTGTGTAGGATTCGAGACACCAAGGCTCCTATGTGAACAGCCAGAGAAGAGGCTGCTCAGGAAACAGCAGGCAGATATATTCAGGCACATAATTCTCTTATAAAACTTGATAATGTTGATAAACCAACATTTAACGAATATGCAAAATAAAGTAGCACAAAGGACTTATATAATTTAAGACTTTAGTCTGCTAAGCATTACAGAACAATTCTATAACCCCAAACCAGAATGACTGAAAAATTTTTTGCTCTAGAAAAACCCAAACTAGCTTGAGTTAGTTCTGCTTCAGAAGACATAAAACAGAAGATATTAAGTGAGCCTGAAACCACAGGATTTCATGTTTTAGTGGATGCCAGCAACATAACTTCTTAGCAACATTTCACCTCATCTGTGATGCCAGCTAGAATAAACAGGAAACTGAAGACTCTTAGATAACTCCTTGGGCATCAAGGGAAAAATTTTCACTCATTTCTAAAGTTGACTTGAGTACCACAAAAAAGAAAGGTTTTCTAGAAACCTGCAAAGGGCTGAGAGAGAGATGTAGAAGTTTCCCTAATTTTAAAAGTGCTCAGTGATTACAGGTTCTTAAAGAGGCTGGTCACAGGATTTATGTGTTACTGAAGAGCTAGCACTGTTACCCTGTTAGATAAAGATTCTTACATAATTTAAGCATCACAAAGCTTTTAGGCAATTTTAAAGCCCCAGCATCAAGGGAGAACATGTGTTCTGAAAATGCCATCCAATATTCAGGTTCAGCTATTGAAAAAAGGTATCTCATGGGGACACTTACTCACCTGAGGTCAACTGAGAAGAGACTTTCAGCTGCAATTAATCCAGCTTTCTGATATATGAAGTAGTTTTTAAATCATAGCCCAGTTTCTTGGTGAGTTAGGACACTAATTATCAGGTTTTCAGATTCTTTTGCAGACTCACCTGCTTCTGGGTGCACTCTGCCAGAAAGTATCACTGCACATTGTCTTCAGAGTGGATGCTGATTTTGTAGCTGAAACACTGTATCAGGCACAAATTTCTATAAGCAAATCCCCCCACTGTCATTTTAAGCTGGATAAAGAAACAGTGGTATATCAAGTGTTCCTGCACTACTAAGGCAGTGCATTGGATGGGATCACAGATCTTTTCCATAACACAGTTAAAAATATCACAGGATTAATTTCCATAGCTTTCCCGTCAACACAGATATATGAAATATATAAAATAATTGAATGCCATTTATTATTTTAATGGCTAGGTACGCACTTAATTTAGGTTTTGAAAAATGAAAATACTAATGACTCTCTGTGAAATGTTTTTTTCTAGATCGACACCACTGCTCTAAAATTGCATAAAGCAAGCTGGCAGCTGCAGCGTATACCCATGCATTTTTATGCCCCTGTGCTGAGTTTCAATAACCTGTTGCTAACTGCTTATATGAGATTATCCCTTATATGTCAGGAAAAAAAGGGATTTTTAAATTTTATTTTATTTTAAACTAAAACATGTTCACATTAAATAACATGAACAAACTGTATTAGCTAGGCAGGTCTCCATGTACTGTCAGACTGCTCTGAAAGTAGATTGAAGGCAAAATACCTGTTCCCAGGAGCATCATTATGATCTTTTGTCCCTTTAACTAGAAGCAGGTTAAGCTACTTCCAGACATCTGACCTTGAAGGATCTGAACCAGAAAAGACTACACTTCACCTAACAGTTACGATAGATGCTTTATTTGGAGCATGCACAAATACCATCCTACAAGCACTTCACCTCTCCAAAGGATTAGGGTTCACCGCTGTGCTGACATCTCCTGCGAACTAATCCCCACCTTTCCAAGGTTAAGAACTTGCTTTACGACCGGTGTTTACCACTCTCGAAAGACACAAACCGAGGGAATATCAGGCGCGACTCACGTTACAATATTGCCACACTGTGGGCTAAAGGAGGCATTGCGCTGCTCCAACTCTTCCGACAGGAACAAGCGAAGCAAAAGACCAAACATGCTTACCCTGAAAAAACTTTGCTCTCCTACTCAAAATGAAATTAATTGATCCCAAAGTAACAGCACTCAAAGTGCAATAAAAATACAGGCTTGCTAACGTAATAAATTAACTTAATTTTGCACCTTAAGATCTGTTCTAAGAAGTTGTTCCCGCCAAAAAACACCATTAGGGAGAACTCCTGGGCACTTTATAGCCAAGCCATTGAGTTTCAAAGCTAGTGATAGGAAACACAACCTCAAAATGAAGACAACGGTCCCACAACTTAGAAGCATCATAAGACAAAATTACCATGTAATGATGGGAGTCTCCTACATTCACAAAACAGCTGTAACTGCACACTGAGCCCAGCTTCAGCTTTTCTGCCTCAATTGGCATAATTTAGAATGCTACAAACCCAACCCAAGGCACTGTTCAACTTAAACACCCTAACCATTTCTAGGGACACAGCAATAAAAGGAGGAAAAACCCACTGATGAGTTTCCAATGAAGCACTTAGATCAGGTCTTGAAATGGAAGAAAACCTGCAGTTTCTAACTTATGTTTATGTTTTTGTGGCAAACAATCTCACATTTAAGTTAGGATAATCCTGAAGTGTTGTTCACAGTGGCCACATATGATTATGCATTACCAACTCAGAGAAAAGGATCCAGTTCCCATTATACAGCATGAGAATAACCCTTTCCTTCCCAGAAGTTATGGAAAATACTTCCCACTCCTGTCTATGAGTAACAAACAGATCGTGAATGGAGGTGGTGCTTCCCCTAAGTAACCCTCAGGTAACTGAAGTCTGAGGCAACTCAACAGCATTATCTCCTGTACTACTAACAGTTTTTATGACACCTGTTTTTCATAGTGTCCTGGACAAAATGTCCAGCACCCAGTTAGATAAACTGTGTCATAGAAAGGGACCTGGGGGTCCTGGTCTGTGGGAAGTTGAATCTGACTCAGCAGGGCCCTGGCAGCCAGAAGGGCCAACCCTTTCCTGGGGGGCATCAGGCACAACATCACCAGCCAGAAAAGGGAGGGGATTTTCGCACTCTGCTCTGCACTGGGGTGGCCTCACCTCAAGTGCTGGGGGCAGTTTTGGGTGCCACAATATAAAAATGACATAAAGCTATTAGAGAGTGTCCAAAGGAGGGCCATGGGGATGGTGAAGGGCCTTGAGGGGAAGCCGTGTGAGTAGCAGCTGAGGTCACTTGGTCTGTTCAGCCTGGAGAACAGGAGACTGAGGGGAGACTCATTCCAGTTACAGCTTCCTCCTGAGGGGAAGAGGAGGGGCAAACACTGATGCTTTTCTCTGGTAACAGTTGTTGCATCAGGGGAGGTTTAGGTTGGATATTAGAATAAGGTTTTCCACCCAGAGGGTGCTTGGGCACTGGAACAGGCTCCCCACGGAAGCGCTCACAGACTAACAGACTTCAGGAAGCCTTTGGACTGGGGCACATGGTGTGACTCCTGGGGATGGTGCTGTCCAGGAATGGGAGCTGGACCCAATGATCCTTGCGGATCCCTTCCAACTCAGCTTATTCTGCAATTCTGTGAAACAACACCGCTTTAAACCAACATTATTCCTGGCAGAGAGCAGTATTTTTACCATGCCACTCACCCTGGAGCTAATAGAAAAGTATACTTCGCTCATGTGTTTCATTTTCAATACAGCACCTTCATGCCAGTGTGTTTAAAATGATCTTCAGTGAGTCTTACAATGACAGTTACACAGTCTGTCTTATATCTGCGTTAACTAATAGTAAAACTAGTGATTTTACTCAAATACAGTAAGCACAGTAAATAAAATGACCACTACCACCCACTTCTGACTGGAAGTTACTAATTGTTTCAGTCACCTTCTTGACTACTTTATTAAGACACTGCACTAGGTTCAGAGCTCAGGATACAGGTAAGCTCTTAGGAACAACCTGGCAAATTACCTAATTATAAGCAAGAGCATATAGCTGAAGGATTACTCATTGCAGGGCAATTGATGGAGCCATTTAAAAAGATTCTGCACTTTCCATTTTTTTTCCCAAGTCTTAATTTTATAGGGAAAAGGTAGGACTGCTAATAGCACACTCATTTCGAGAAGTAACTAATATATGCCATCAGTCAGCAGCATTTGCCCTAACCAGTATAATCTGAAGTAACCACTTCTTGAAAGGTGAAAGCCTTCCATAATGAAGTCTGCATTCTCTGCAGCTTTCTTGAAGCTATTTTCCAACAGAAATTTTAGGCAACAGAGATCTGTAAGCAACACTGTGCTTTAGAGAAATGGATGCCTGAATTTCCTGAGAAACTAACACAAAATCTTCAGATTCCTGCACTGAATCATTAATTTCGCCACCATATTGTGCCGTTTCCTTGTGAAGCAGGAGTTTGGTGCTTGCCTTAGGTCTTGAAAGTATCACATTGTTCCAAGCCTCACCCAGTAACCCAAACCAAACACTGTTATGATAAAGGCCAGTGCCAATGTGGGAGTGAGTGTGCAACCAAGGTACCCTCTGTGTCCTCATACAAGTTACATCATGCAAAACTCAAGAATGAAAGATTAATATGGCCTGCTAAACCCACTGTGAAGATTATGATGTAGTCTTTGATCTCATGTAGTGAGGTAAACCCCTCTACTTCATTGTAAGACAAGCAGAACAACCTTCAGTTGCTCTGGAATTAAGTGTATTTATTTATAAAGACATAATCAACATGGACAAATTAAAAGGATGGTTTAAAGAAGCTGATTTTTAGGAATTGCTTCCTAGAGATTTATACTTACGTTTGCTTTTGATTTCCCAGTTGACTCCACACTTCAACTACAAAACCATCAAAATTTTCACTCTAAATAAAGAGAATTGTCAACAACACACAGTTAATGACCATGCAGTTATTTTTCTTTCACTATTACGGATTGAACATGCTTTGTATTCTTACACCAGATTCATCTTTAACACATAATTTCATGGAGAAGTCCAAGAAAATTTAAAATCATTTAACAAACACAAACATGCAAAAGTTGAAAATCTCTATTAGTTATCCATTATATCTACTTTTATAGAAAAAGCCAATAGACAGACACTAATGAAAGGTGGTTGTTAAGGAAATAATTTGACACACTTTTACTTGTATATCAGGGAAAAAACTCCTTATCTCTTGAGTCTGAAGACATAAATGCTAATTCGCCACAGACATGATTCCAAGTATCTCCCACAATTAGTCTCTCTTTTGATAATTTATTGCTAGCATGATCAAGGATACTGTTGTAATTGAGTTGACATCCTTAAGAGGTCAAGTGTTACTGAGGACCTAAAATCGACATATCAGTTAAAAATGTTAAGAAATTATGCAGTTTAACTATAAATCCAACTTCCTCTAGAGCACTCTAAGATTTCTTTACATCATGTAGCAAGTGAGAACTCTTATTCTAACAATAAATAAACAGGTTGCCATGAATCAACCACTAATGTTTAATGTCTTTTGGGTGCAGCTTTTCTATTCTCACACATGGGATAGCTCTCAAGCCATTAGGAAACGGGTTGTCCAGAAACCTCAGCAAAATTTTCTCCTCTCCCTAGTCTCTTAACATTTTGAGGAAACTGGTTGATCAAACCTGAGGAAAACTATTCAATAACACATATCTAGTGAGTGATTCTTGGTATTAGAAGTGGCTCCTTAGCTTTACCACACTGAGCCTGAATGCATTCCTGTACAGAAAACAGCACTCATTGCACCCATGACCCTTTTTCTGCCTATCAGAAAATACCACTAAGCAGTTTAGCCACAGCTCAATAATTATATTTTAATAGAAATTAAAAGAAAATTAAAGCAGGCAAAAATCACGACTGCAGCTGCCAATGATAAGAAGGTTTTGTCAATCAGACTGATGCAGTCTCATGTCAGACTCGTAGTCATCTGCACTAAAGTGTTGCTACATTTCATATTTACAAGAACTGGACACATACTAAGACAAGATATCAAGAATCCTGCCTCATTATTGCTTTGAGCAAATTTTATTTCATAGAATGCAAAATCACAAGAAATGAGAAACCATCTATTAAAAAAGGAATCAAGTATCATCTCACTATTTTAGAAGCATCATAAATAGGGGTTTTTTTACCTTGGCTAGCAGAACCATGTTCTTGGAAAGCTCCTCTATCTCATCTTCACTGCCAAAAACACTCTCAAAATCTTGGTAAGTCCAGCCATCAAACAAAATTCGAGGCACTATCAGGCAAAGTTGTCAATCAGTAGAGAAAATAAGAAATTTATTATGTACACTGGAATGTTTCTGCAGAAACAGAATACAGCAGATACAAGCAGAGATGCCACTAAAAATCACATCCCATGACTGAGATAATTGCTTTTTCACTCTGATCAGCTTCAGCAGCATAGATTAACTGACACTGTAGAACATTCTTCTTCAATTTAAGTTTAGTTAACGATCAGCACTGATGCAAGTTTTAAGACAAGATGCCTTCATTTGATTGAACCATCTCAACTGAACTACCAGTCAGGGCCTCAAGTAGAGTCTTAAACCAGCAACAACACAAGACACCAATCTTTAAGTTGTACATCTCTTCTACCACAATAATGATGCAGAAGAGTTCACCTCAAACTCTAATTTACTTCATACATAGCCCTGCATTATTCACTCTTCTACTCAATTCAATGCCTTAAGACAAATTTTCACTTTTGGAAAGCATTTGAGCTTGTGTAAATTTTTTTTTTAAAAACACAAAACCTTAAAAAAATAGACAGGAAAACTGCTGTTGGAACAGTCGACAATCATGCCCACAGGAAAAGGCAATGGATTTTATGGAGCTATGTCTAAGCCCTTTCTAACTACCTTGGTTGTAAAAGAGTGTTTTAGAAGAGTATAAAGAGATTTCAAAGGCTTTATCCTCTGGCAGCTGAAGTACATTAAAACATCTGACTGAGAATTCAATTTTTCTAATACATTTCAATTTCATACTCCCTTCTGAATCAAGAAGCATTTCACAGTTCCACAGAATTCTTGCTATAGACAAATGTAAGAAGTCTAGCACAGCAGAATCTCTACAGAAATGTTTGCCATTTTCCCTAAAGACACACAATGCAGCACATCCCATGAGTTCCCAGCTTCAAGGGGAGAAGAGACAAAGCAGGATTTTTCTATCATGCAGGAAAGTCTGACTGACTGACTCAGATTTGGATTTTTTTTTTTCTTTTTAACTATACAGAACCCCAAGCAACAAGTTTGAAGACTTCTTTCCCCAGGGAGGCACACAGTGTTATATACTAGTATTGCTCCATGGAGGGCACTGTAACCCAGGATTTATTCACAGACAAGAAGCTAAGGCAAAACATAAAGGCATCAAGAGGCCCAACACTTCAGTTACTTAACTATCTACAATTAACTGCTTTAATTTTTCTTCTCAGACATCTTCTTCATACAGCTGTGCTAAGGTAATCTTCCTTCCTCCCATACAGACCTGGAAGAAAGCTTAACTTTCTTCTCCTAGCAGCTAAAGAAGATAAAAAGCAAGCAAACAAACATAAACCAGAGGCTCACCTATTTTTATGTTTTTGGAGGTTTTTCTCACATCTTTCATCCAGCCTGTCAAACAGTATCAAGTGAGACAGCTGATAAAATATAAATGACGTTGACAATGATAACATATTTCCAAACATTCTTCAAATGATGTAGCATAGCTTCATTATACACATCTTCCTGCCACAGACTAGCAGTTCATAATCCACCCAGACATCCTGTGATGCACAGGATCTGAAGCCATGAACCTGCACCACAGCATTCACTACAGCCTTAAAACAGTCTCCACCCAGCCTCTCCCTGCTTAGTTCTACCTCACTATGGAAGCTACCCTAGTGCCTACTCAGAACAACACTTCTGTAGCCAGTAGGCATCACCTGGGAGGAATGTCTGATTTTTTCAGATGGTACTTTAAAATGTCCCATTCACTCCTCTTGGCAGTTATTGCACAAGGATGAATTTGTTAGTAGGCACTAACATGGTAAGAATTATACCTATTTCAAATGAAATTTCACATTCAATCTACTTCAAAAGCACGAACTAGTACATACTAGCTGAAATTTAATCTTGCTGCCACTTTCCTCACAATGAAGGGAAAAAATTCTCTTCAAATTAAATTTATCTTCCCTTTCTAAACAAATTCGCCAAAAGGTTTTTGCAAAGAAAAAAAAAAAACAAAACCCACAGCAGGTAAATAATTGCACAATGCAACACCAAAGACTGTTTTTCCTTGTACAGAATCTTTGCCCTTTCATTTTTTTGAGAGGGGTTTTGTGTACAGCACGGTGGAAAAGCCAATCTTTCTACTTACATTTTTTAACAAATAAACAATGTACGCATGTGGAACATGGTGAGGACAGAAAGAAGTTTAATCTGAAGAAAACCCAAAAAAAAAGGGAAGGATGAAAGTACTTCACCATGTGGCAGAGCCAGCAAAACCCATCTAGTATGCCAAATCTACTCAGTCCACAACAATATTGCAATTCATATCTGAAGAAAAAAAAACAACACCTTGATCAGCATCATGGAGACCAGTGAACTGGAACCTTTCCTTCCCTCTCCTCTTCACTTGTAACCAAACCGGTGAGATTAGTGTAAATTTGTTTCCAAATATTTTAGCAATGTCATAGCCATGGTTGTTCCACTTGAAAAACAAAGGAGAGGAAAAAAGTGAGAGACTCAGAAGTAAGATATACAGTTCACTTCACTTTTGACCAATATAAACTCTTTAACAGAAATGTAATCATCTGCTAGATCCCTATTCGTTCATTTGAGGAAACCTGCTGCCATATTGCTTTCATTTAAATAAGAAAGTACTCTGGAAGCTCTGCTAGCTATATTAAAGGCAATCTTCAAATTGTGCTAATTCACCTCAACTATAGCAACTGACTTGTAGATTCCCACACAGTTTTGAATTTACAGACTCTGAATTTATGTTCAAGAGAACTTGAGAAAGGCAAAAATTTAAAGGGTGCCTATTTGTCTTTTGACCAGTGTAAGACAAAAACAAGTGAAAAGTATCCTCTAAAAAAAAAAGGATGAAACGTTTATCATTCAAAAAAGAATGCTTTGAAGGAGACAGGATAGCAAAAGACATCCAGTTTGACATCAGTATGGCAGCATACAATTGTTACTGTCTATTTAGCAGGTTTGAGTTGCAGCCCTCCTGTTCTGACTTCACTGCAACTTCCCCTGACTCACCACTGACAGGAGAATATTCTCATCCCTGTTAAAACAAACCAGCATTAAGGAAGCTTCCCTGTCTGACCATCTAGGAGCCATTCTGGCAGTCACACTCCCACCACTCCAAACTTTCACTGCTGAGGGTGGCTCCAGTGACCCCAGGGGTGCCCCTCTTGGTCCCTGCACACCCCACACTCACACAGTCAGACAAGGTTTGGCTCAGCCCAGGGTTTCCCATGGCAGAGTCCCAGATGTCTGGAACCCTAAAGCAATTTCACAGAAACAGCTCGAGCTGCTGCATCTGGGGAGGGACCCCCAACAAAGGAACCCCCAGGTTTTGTATCCTCCAAGCCTGTGATAGTCTGGGGTCTTCCTGCTGAGCCCTCGGCTCCTGCTGTGTCCTGGTGTCCGGTCACCTGGCCACTGCCACAGGTCCCCGTGCCCTTTGCTGTCTGAAAGGTCAGGACCAAGCCACAGTCCCTTGCCTGGGGCTCCCACCCAGGCACAACCTGCAGCTCCCACTGCAGCTGCACACCCAGTACCTGCTCTAAGTGCACTGCTCAACACCAGGGAGAGGAAAAACAATATACATCCTCCTAGAGGACCTAGACATCCTCCAAGAGACAGATGGGAGAACAAGGGTTTGAGCCCACCTGAAGTCAAGTCTCAAATACTTCTCTGGCTATTTGATTGTATTTGACCAGCAGCCCCCATTAATATAAAAACAGTTTTAAAACAGGGATGCAAACTTGCAGGTTAGCACACTCTGCTGCATATTCATTCAAAGCACTGATTTTATTCAACTTATCAACTGTATCAACTTACAGGAGTAATATATCCTAGAACATCTCCTGAGAAATGTCGTTCCTTCATCTTCTTGGAGCAATAACTTTTATGTTCCAATATAATATCCTTTGCTTTTGGATCCACAACTACCAATCCCCGGTCCTGAACATTTTTATCAGAATGCAGCTTCTGTGGAGAGAAGACAGTTATTAGAACCAGTTATATGAAACAGCCACTTTCAACAGAACAGACTTTAAAAACAAATCCCTTCATTAAACTCTGAGCACTCCTTTTAAATTATGCAGATCACTTCAATTTAGAACTGAAACATACAAGTCCTCAGAAATTATTTGTCATCATTAGTAAACTTACTACGTTTGGAGGGTAAAAAGCATATAAACAAAAAACAAAGCCCAAGACATTATAAGAGTAAAGAACATAATTTATGATAGCTGATGGTGCTCTGTTTTCTAATCAATGCTTTCCATCATGTTACCCTCAAAATAATAAAAACCAAGAATTTTAAGACAGCTTTTGAACTGAATATATTTTAGTCTGAGAATGCTGCACTGTGAAGGTCAAGATTTTAAACATTCTTCTTTAGGGAAGATGCTTCAACTGACCCAGCAGATAAAAACAGAATGAGAAGATCTAATAAAATGTCCATGGTGAGTATGTAGAAGCCATCTATTGATTCATTGTGAGGAATTTAGGGATATGGCCTGCCTTAACACCTTGTATTACCCTCACTACCTGCAAATGAGATTTGGTAGATGTTGAGCAAGTGATACAAACACTGACAGATGTACATGCATAATGACAGGAAACAATAACGTGCTCGGCAAGTGAAGAGAGACTTCAGCATGCTGCCTCTGCTTGCTCTGATTATTGTGAGAGACTGAATCATTTCTGCCTGCAAAACAACAACTGATTAGAAGGCTCTTTAAACTCTTTCATCAGGATACAGCCTTCCCATTGGCAAGGCTCCATTCCACCAGTAAATGACCTAGAGCTCTTGGCCCAAACTACTGTTCCCCACCCTGGTTTCCAAAGGGATGAAAGTGTATTCCCTGAGGGGACAAAAACTTCCTGCTTCTGCAACTTCCATAGAGGATGAAGCTCCAGAAGTCTACATCGTATGTTTCAGGAAGTGAACCATTTGTGACACACAGAAAAGCTGAAGGAAAGGACAGCTTCAAGTTTTATATCAGCTTCAGCGGAAATGCATTAACACTGTTTCAACAGAGGTAGAGACCATTTACCAAAGTTCAATTAATTCACTACACATGTTAGATAAGACAAGAATTTCAGTTATTTCCCTCACCTTTTCCTCCAGTTTTTTTGTAGCACCTTTCTTTGCATCTGTTTTTGACAGGGTACCTTCAGCTAGCCAGCATACCATGGCAAGAGAAAGGGAAGCACAGAGAAGCCTCATGGTGTTTTTCCCCATGTCAAGTTTCTCTTCTCCTGAAAACATAAGGGTTCAAATCTTTGTGAACAGAGGAATATAAGAGTTTCATTTGGTTTTCTTGTATAAAAAAGTCAAGACATTTTCTTATCTTCTCGCATTTAGAATCAGACTTATTAAGGCAGTGCTTCTGCTCTGGCAACAAAAGCAGTGCATTGTGAGAGATTACTTCTGGTCTCAAACACCTTTTTTGTCCCATGTTTTAGTAGCTGTATCACAGAAGAAGGGGGTTGGACCCTCACAGCTTCCTTTTTAAGGAATCTCCCTAAAGAAGTACAACCGTTTACAGCTGAAACTGAGATAAATGTCTGCTGCACAGAACAATTATTGTACCACCTTGCCTTTTCTATAGCAAATAAGAGAACATTTTTTTTTCTGCTCCTACCTAGCCTGGTCAGTGTGTCATAAATTAATTAAGAGATATAAAAAATTATAGCTATATGCTTACAGCTATGTGCCTTTGCTTAACAGGTGAGACCTTTGCTTTCAATTCCTTGCCAAGTCACTGATACAGAAATTGAAGGAAAAAAAAGGAGGGGGGAGGGTGGGCATGTCCTTTTTGTCTAAGAAGAATAACTTTGACAGTTTGTCCTGGCTCCAGATAAAGGAACTGAGAATTAGTAGACAACAGTTCTGTTGTGTGTTCATCTATCACACCTTGTATCTGTAGGAAGACTGTAAAAAAAAAAAAAGTCAAATACAGCCAGAGTTTGTTTTCCAATCTCTCCCCAGTTAAATGTTGCACTGGTTTCCCTGCCTAACTCCCAGTAGTAAATAAGAAGAAAACAGAAAAAAAATATTTGGCATTTGGGGAACCAGGGCTCTAGATCTGTATCAAGCTGCTTTTTATAAATATGAGATCCTGATGGAGAAGAAAATAGGTTCTTTCCAATATTCTGAATTTTGTTGAACTTAAAAAACTATCTTGCTTTTTATACTACTCTACCACTCATTTTGAAGACCTACAAGCTCATTTCTACAAATCATATTTATAAGATTTGTTCTACTGGCACTGATAACAAGTGCTGCTCAAAGTCTGAGTACTTTGTTTCAAACTTTCAAAACATCAGGTGCAAGATCCCACAACACGAGACTGAGCCTCTCAGTACTGTGGCAGCAGGACCCTTAAAGCCTCAATGGAAATGTACTCAATGAAACAGACATGAAATCAACAACTCAAACTTACTAGTATTTGGATGTATCTGGCTTAGCAGTGAGATCTTAAAAACCAGAGGTATTTGTTGTAAGATTTAGGGATTCTGCAGGAAAAGAGAGGAATATGTGATTAGGCAACAAAGTAGAAGGAAGATGGTAGAAGTGCTTGAAAAAAACAATGCCAGTATCACCAAAGAACATCAAAAACCTCCTGCACAAAATTATTTGAAGATTTTAGTCAAGTCTTTTGTAAACTGCAAAATAAAAGCAGAAAGCCTTCTAATATTGCTTGGATCCAGGGACTGTGGTAAAAGCTAAATTGCTATACAGCTTGAAATTCCTCTTATGAATAATTAAGGTCTTACACTTCCACTTTGACTTCAAGGTCATCAGTCATCCCCTTGTTTTCCACATTCTAAAAAATGAGACAAAGCAGGTTGCTTTTGATAGTATCTCCTATGTTCCATCTAGCTTGGCAAGATCTATAAACTATTGCAGAGAGGAACAATTGAGAGCCTGAACAGTCAATACAAGTCTTAACTATTTGGACAGGATACCAATTCTCCCAGAAGCTCATATATATCGATTTGGAGGTGTTTGATTTCACTTTCAGAAACAATTAGCAACAGATTCCACTTCCCTGAAAAGAAGATAATATCTAACAGCTGAAGAACAGAAGCTTAAAAAGCCATCCCTGAACTCTAATTAGACATCAAAATGTGCTCATTTCCTTGATAGGATCGTATCCATCTGTCAATTATTGTTAAGTCAACATCCACTCCTAGATTCAGAGGAAGCACTGAACCTGTGGCAAATTGGTTTCTGCTACTGACAGTCCAGTATAAACTCTCGGTTGGACACTTATTTTAGTAGTTTGTTCTTTAACAACATCAATGAAAATTAAGTAGACAGCATCACTGTAACACAGAAGATGAATTGGTCAAACTTTAAATGCTCTTTATGGAAAACATAAGCATGCATTTTGCAAGCTTTACAAAACTAAATCCTTATCAAACTTTTCTTCTACGAAATCTCTGCCATTTTTTAACACTACTCAAATTAGCTGAACTCAGAAGAACTGTCTGAGCTTGGCACTCTTTGTTTATCTCCTCTGTCACTGCAAAATGCAAAGAGAATTGAAAAATTCCTCTATGGCTTGTCCAACTGATACTATTGACAACTTAAAGCTTGCTTTAAAACATCGTCTGACATACTGATCTGAAGCCCAGGTTTCCCTCCTAGCCAAGTCACAGATGTTGCTTGACCCCATCTCCACATGAGGCAGCATACTTTTGGAAAGCTGTTTTACCTTAATTTTTAAAAGTAAGGAAAGCTAGCACAGATTTAGGCTTTCCAAAATAAGCAAGCAAAGAAACTAAATGGATGGTACACAACACTGAGTTAATGTTTATATTTTATTTATAAAGAAAAAACTAGATTCTAACTACATTTCCAGAGAGAACCTGCCTCTCTTAGCAAAGGAAGGCCAGGAAGCATACTCCTGATGCGTTTTTAAATGAAAGCAATAAAAGCTATACTGGGAAGTGAAGAGAGAATAAATCCGCTTCGAACCTTTGTAAACATTAAACCCTCCTCTCTTGCAAAGTGCTCCACTTTGACGTTCGGAATTCCCTCCCACACTCGCCCGACTCTCCAGATACCAGGGAGCCCACACGCCTGCCGTAGCATCGGCGCCTCAGCGCCAGCGCCACAGCGGCGGCCCCCGAGCTCGGGCCCGGCGGGGCAGCCCCGGCCTCCCCGGGCCGCTGCGTCACCCCCACCGCGGCACGGCCAGGCCTCCGCCCCGCCGAGCGCGGCCTCACCCCCGCCCTTTCCCCTCTCCTCCGTCCCTCCCCAGCCCTATCGGGCCGCGGACACCACGTACCGCCCGCCGCCGCCGCGGAAGTGCGGGCGGGCAGCAGCGCCCCGCCCCGCCGGCTCCGGGCAGCGCCAACATGGCGGGGCGGGAGAGTTGGAGGCTGCGGCTCAGCGGCGGCACATCCCGGCCAGGCCCCACCGACAGAGCCGCCGCTGGGCTGGGCTGGGCTGGCGCCTGCCGTAGCATCGGCGCCTCAGCGCCACAGCGGCGGCCCCCGAGCTCGGGCCCGGCGGGGCGGGCCCGGCCTCCCCAGGCCGCTGCGTCACCCCCACCGCGGCACGGCCAGGCCTCCGCCCCGCCGAACGCAGCCTCATCCCCGCCTTTTCCCCTCTCCTCCGTCCCTCCCCAGCCCTATCGGGCCGCGGACACCACGTACCGCCCGCCGCCGCCGCGGAAGTGCGGGCGGGCAGCAGCGCCCCGCCCCGCCGGCTCCGGGCAGCGCCAACATGGCGGGGCGGGAGAGTTGGAGGCTGCGGCTCAGCGGCGGCACATCCCGGCCAGGCCCCACCGACAGAGCCGCCGCTGGGCTGGGCTGGGCTGGGCTGGGCTGGCCTGGCCCGGCCCGGCCCGGCCCGGGACGGGACGGGACGGGACGCTGTGCTTTGGGGCTCATCAGTAGCTGAAAAAAGGAAATGCTAATAAAGATGTGATTCTAAATTCCCATAAAGAGCCTCTTGGTTTAGCTCAAGCTATAGCAAATTGATACAGCTCCAGGTCTAGCCTGGAGAGGAGGAAGTTCAGGGGTGACCTTATCGCTCACTGCCCAAAAATAGGCTGTAGCCAGGTTGGGATCAGCCTCTTCTCACAGGCCACCAGCATCTCAAGAGGAAAGGGCCTTAAGCTATGCCAGGGGAGGTTCAGGTTGGACCTGGAGGAATTCCTTCACAGAAGGTGATAAGATCCTGGGAGGGGCTGTCCAGGTAGGTGGCGGAGTCACCGTCCCAGGAGGTGTCTAAGAAAAACTTAGAGCCATGCTCTAGTTGATGTAGTGATGTTTGATCACAGATTGGACTCGATGATCTCTGAGGTCTTTTCAAAACAAATTGTTTCTGTGATTCTGAGAAATAGGGCAGGTAAATCAGGAGCTTGGGCTAAAATGCACACATTGACCTGGAGGCAAAATGATCGTATAGATAAGGCTGCAGGAGAGTCTGTAGGCAGTACTGCTGACTCTGGGTGTGCAGGAAGGAGAGGTCAGCTCTCAGGTGGCTTTTAACTGACTCTAAAATAAAAGATTGTGTTTATAATTGAGTTTTTTAGTTTCTTCTGTTTTGGCCTTCTACAGATTGTGTTTTTGCATGCAGCATGGCTTGTGTTACCGCTGTTTACTGCAGCAGACATTTTGGTATAACCCTGTTATTTCACAGGCTGCTTGCAGGGATTACATACCCTATCAAAAGACTTGATTAAAAAATGGATGTGTTATATCATGATGTATAGGCAAGGCCTCTACATATCCTAGCAGTGCACTTCCCAACAGAAGCCTTCCTGCTTTCTGTCTTGGTTACAGTTTGGTGCAACCTCCTAAAAGCTGAACCAGAAGGTTGCCTTTTTCTGCTGAACTGCCCTCTTCTTTCATTCCCTCTGGTGTAATGAAAATCTTTGTGAGCATTCTTCAGCACTGAAAAGAAAAATGGAAATATTTTTCCTCTGAACAAAAGTCTTGTCAGTGAAGCAGATGCATGGTTTTCTATGCCCAGATCCATCCCAAATTTCTGTAAATTTAGAGTTTCATGATAATGATATTAGCCTAAGTTGTGTTTTCTAGTGTTGAAAGCAGCCCATCTGATACTCTGGCATGGCAGAAGGCATTGTGCTCTCTGTTAAGGGATAATGAATGTTCAATGTCAAGTACAGAAACATGGTTATGTGTGCATAGTGGAGCCATGGATTCTGCTTAGTCCTAAGTTCTTTTTGGTTCCAGTAATGGCTGGAATGATCATGAGGAGCAGAAGAAAACAATAACTGGTGAGACAAATGTGAGAGAAGTAACAAAGTGAAAGGAACAATTCCTTTTTTGTAGTTCCCACAACTGGATCCTCACCAGCTGAAAACACTCAGATGAATTGTAATAGTTTTATGAAGGTCAGTGCAATTATTAAAGCCTTTGTACCAAAGTGCAATGAAATTCTGAAAAAAAAAAATTAAGTAACTCCCATATAAAATGGGAAGGGGGGGACAAACATTGTGAATTTGTTGGCAAACAAATGTGATGCCAAATGTTTTATGTAATAGGAAAATATTTCTTGGTACTATCTCCCCTTTAATGCTGATTTTACAGTAATTATAAATGTCTTAAATAATCATAACATCTTGGGATGGATGGAACCACTTATGTTTGCTTTTAGGCAGCCTGGTGTTTTATAGATTTTAGGCTCAAACCAAAATATTTTACAGAATAACCAACTCAGTGTGTTTGCAAAGGGTTGTGCCTGGTGCAAGCTCTGTGCTGAGTAACAGCTGAGTTCACATTACAATGTTTCTTTCAGCCAGGGTGCATCTAGAGACCATTACAGACTCTCTTTCCTCTAGATACCTATTATTCACATAAAATTTCTACCTTGTCCTTACCAAGACATGTAAAATGCACTACTGAGTTTTAAGTTATGAGGCAGTAAGGACAGACATGCCTGCACATTTGTCCTGATTGCACAAGCCTTTGTTGAAGCAAAAAGACAGCACGGTGAATATAGGGAAGCCTCAAAAGCCAGTCAAAGGAGGTTGACATGAAATAATCAGGGTATGTGTACTGCATACTGGGCCCCTTCAAATGAAACATTTAGCTGTATGAGGCAAAACTGGAGTCATCCACATGTGTTAACCACTTGGATATTTTCCCAGTTCTCAAGAAGAATTTGCAGCTCATGCTTAGCTTGGTACTGCCACAGCTATTTAAGCCACTGCTGAAAAGGCAGTTGGATACCTGCATGACTTGCAGTATTGACAGGAATACAGCCAGACAGGACTGATAGACTGAGCCTTTAGGTGTCACTGTACTCTTAAGAGTAGAAATCAGCTCAACATTTTGGCTAGCTCAAAAAGGATTTTTTTTTTTTTCTGATCACAGAAAAAAACCTCATTTGGTGACATGGGAAGCTTTCATCTTCAAAGGTGCATGGAAATTATTATTAAGCATCAAAATCTATTTGTAAAGCAGTGAAAAAGGAAAGTGTTCTTCATGAAAGCCTACAAATAATCTGAGTTGAATAATAGACTAATTGTGCACAACTGCCTGTATTTGCACTTGGTCTACAAAATGGATCCAGGGACAAAGGGATAATTGCGTGACTACCACATGCTGTCATCCTGCCTTTCTCACAGATACTTGCACAACTAAAAAGCACTCATATAACAATGTATCCTGAAAACAGCTGGAATAGACCCTTCAGAGGTGACCTAACTGAGGTATACAGCCACTGTCAGACAGATGGTATCAGGTGTTATGTAGATCTTTATAAGAGAAAAATACATCACGAAATTAAAGATACTGGAGTTTGATGAATCTAAACAAGCTCCAAGCTCTAAACAATAAGAATTAGCCATGGGAGTAAACTATCCAAGGCAACAGTGAATTTGATTGTATCAGAGCAAGACTCAGTGCCTTTCTGGAAGATAGACCGTAGCTAAAAGCTAGATATTGGGCTAAGTTCACTGGGGGTAAAAAACAAAACAAAACAAAAAACCCCAGATGAAATGAAATGGCTTGAAGTATGCTGAAGTAGAGGTAATATGACTGATTGATCTCCAGTAGCCCTAAGCCCCATGATTCTACAAGTCATTATTCTCCACTAAGTATACTAATCCCTTGCATCATGACTGAGGCCCCCAGCTTCACACTTTTGGTTAGGCAGTCTAGGCCAGTTTTGAAACCATTTGAACCTATTTTCAGCTGAAGATATTAATGCTCTGCACAGTCCCACCACTTCGGCATGTTAAAGACAGTTTAACCTTGAAATGTTTTCAGTCTCGGGAGTAGATGTGGTGTGGGACTGTGTCACTCTGCATGTTTACAGCCATCAGGGGGAACATGTGGCCCTGGGTTTGCAGGCCTGCCTGCCCAGGGAGTGGGAATCTCTACACGAACACAGAGCAGCTGTGCCACTCACAGAGCCAACGGCGATGGCGGGCTCGCAAGGGGGATGTGCCCAAGGATGGAGCTGCACAGTAGCCTCCGGGTTGTCAGTGCTCACAGGGACTATGCAGGGTACGTGCAGTACATCCCGTGCACTGTTTTGGGGCCCTTTTGAGGAGGAGGACCAAGGCACAGCCTCCTGCAGTCCACCCTGTGGAAAGCATGTTCTTACGGACTGTACCACTGAGAGTCTGTATCTTGCTCTTCGCATTTTAAAGATAAGATTCCAGATCAATAGTCTGCTCAAAGCTTAAGTGATGAAGTGAAATTTTCCGGTATCTTGATCGGCTGTGCCTCTCCTTCTTCCTCAGCAGTTATATCCTCTGAGGTGCCTGAGTAGCCCGGTATTTCACCTTCAAAAATCATCAAACTTCTCGGCCACTAGGGTCACGAGGAGAGGAAGGGATTAGGCTGTTCCCGAGCAGGGAGCGTGCAGTGAATTCACCCACGAGCACAGCGGCTAACGCCGTCCTGCCGCCCCCTCACCTCGGCCCGGGCCCGTTTGCCCTCACGGACAGTGATTGGAAATCGCGTCCCAGCAGCGGCACGGCCGATCCCCGGGGCCCAGCCTCCAGCTAGCCAGCCCTTTTGGGCCGCAGGGTCGCACGGGGGATGCCCGGGAGCGGGGGCACATGCCGGGGGACGGCGGGGACCGCGCCCGCTGTGGCTGCGGCACCGGGAGGCGCAGGGGGCCCGGCGCACCCGCGGCGCTCCCTCCTCCGCACGGCAGGTGGCGCCCGAGCAGCG